TCAATTGTTCACTCTTACCGCACGCCCAAACCAATCAGAAAAGAAATAACTACTTTCATATCAGATCCTTTCCGGGTCTGCCGGGGAACACCAGCACGATTACCATGGCAAGAAATCTCGAGTTCACGCAAAGAAAAAATTTAACTGCAACAGGTTGATTGTTCAATTTACAGGGAAAAAAATAAAACCGCAGTTTGCAGGCCGTGAAGCCGTACAGGGCTGTATTAGACTGACGACACAGATTTACTGCAAGGACCGTTCTGATGAGACTGACAGACCCTTTTGGACTGACAGCATGGAACTGGACTGACACCGGATCTGACATGACAGATCGGGACAGGACAGACAGGCGGAGCGGGAACAAAACACAGTCTGTGTGCAGGCTCAAGTCCCACGGTCGACTGCAGGCTGAAGTCAGAAGGGACAGTCAAACTGTTGACCACCTACTGACGACGAGCAGCAGACTAGCAATCATGCACTGACCTCTAAACGAACTACAGACTGACAGACCTGACAGACCCGTCCTGACACACTGATGGACTGACGTCAGAGGGACAGGTCGCCAAAACGAACTCACTCGATCAGGGTCTTGATTGGAGACTGCCGCCGGTCAACTCTGACCAGATTGGAGGGATCTGGCTGACTCACAGCAGTTCAGCGCCCGAACTGAAACTTCAGTAACTTACAATAAATTACCGCAAATGCTTCGCCGACGGTTTCTTCTGCAAATAAACCCTCCAGCGATCTTCCAATACTGGTGGCCAGCCAAGCAGGCTGAGCCTGCCACTTTGAGGGCTGCCGTGCCCTCAGGTCGCCGGTCAGATAACTAGGGTTGACGTCCTAATTAGAGCCGGGGCCAGCTCAAACCGGGAGACCACTCCTTTTCTTTTTCTTTCTTTTTTAAACTCGCCTTCGCGCCAGCGTGCACCAATCAATCAACAGGTGTCGCCGTCGACGTCGTTGAAGACTACGGGGCACCGCCCCCAACCGCCAACCGTCAGCCCAACAGATGTCTGGCTCCGATACCAACTGTTATGTGCCTGGTTGAAACGAGATGCAGCATGGCATTCACACTTTCCCATATGCATGCGAAACCACAAGACATCTTGGAGAGAGTAATCCACACCACACCGGATGAAAAGATGCACAGTCGAAGCACTTAAAAGTTAAAAACCAAAATAGAATTGAATTTAACCAATTCTAATTAATACCCTCTCTCTCCAGTTCAATGAGCATCACGAAAATTCCACGATCCCAACCATATTATCAACAGCCAAGAACCAACTATTTACCGGGTTTCATCAGAGAAGGGAGACTTCTTCCTCCCTCAAAGTCAAGCTCTGGCTATGGCGCCACACAGCGCCCAACCTAACAGCAGCCCAAGCACTGGAACACCCTGAGCGCAAGCGCCCTGCCAGCCCCTTCTCACACCCCTGATCACTGAACAGGACAACCGTATCAACAGGGAGCGCCAGCTCCGGAAAGGAAGAAGAATTCTCCCTTCTCTGATGAAACTCTGTAAATAGTTGGTTCTTGGGTGTTGATAACGTGGTTGGGATCCTGGACTTTTCATGATGCTGATTGATCTGGAGAGATTCAGTATTAATTAGAATTGGTTAAATTCATTTCTATTTGTGGTTTTAACTTTCAAGTGCTTCCGCTGTGCTTTTCTTCACTCAGGTTTGACCTAACCCGAGTTACCTACAGCTCAGGACCAACAGCCTACGGCCTACCGTCTTCACCCGGATAGAACGCCCAGTCATTATAGCTGTATTTGGTGCAACTTTCAGCCCAGACATGGCAAAAATACTGGGCGTTCTATTCGGGTGAGGACGGTAGGGCCGAATCTAGACTTAAAACTGGAAGAAGGGAAGACAACAACGGGCCTCACCACCCAGCTGCAGAAAAAGACAAAACAGATTGTCCTAATGGTCTAAGACTACCTAAAAGAGGAGCCACAGCAAGTGACAGGTCCCGGGGTCAGGCCCCAGTAGACTCAAATCTACCACACACTGAGTAGAGCCCAGTTTGCTGCAGATCAGGGGATCAAAAACTGGTGAGCACACCACTACAAAACACACAACGCAAACAAGTTAGTTCACAGCCCGCGTGATACCCTGCAATTCATTGCATGTAAACACACCCCCTGGTGTGACAGATGCTGGTGGTGGTACCACACGACTACAGATGGGTGTCCAAAGCTGAGTCAGGAGGCCAGCCAAGGAGAGGGAACCGCGTCAGCTGATAATTATTCTAATCGGAACAGAAGGGAGGTTGATTCAGCGATTCTCGGCGGTATCCGAGATGCAGCGAGGGATCTCCCGGAGGAAATCCCACAACAAACAATGTCAGAGTCATCCATTCGAGCCTCTCCACGCCTTCCACAGCGCCCAAGAGGGGAACTGCCAGCAGCGGCAAGAAGCAGCCATGCACCTGGTCGACAAGTGGACCCTGCCATTCGTCGGGAGGAGGGAGCTTCCGGCCCACCTATCCGTCGCCACCAGCAGCACCGTGGCGGATTCCAAGCTATGCACAGCCTTGCTACAGGAACATGTGGGAGCATTCCTACCTGCATCCAGCGGGAGGTTTGGGCAAATGGAATGCCGGGGTTGATCCCAACTGGCAGAACGCTGGCATGAGCAGCATAGGTCTTCTACCACAAGGTGCCCTCAACTATGGGAGTTTGGGTTTAGGGCAACCGGGAGCAAGAGGCTTCCGACAGGAGCCGTCATCCTCCCGAGATTTGGTAGTAGTAACAGGGACTGATCAAGGGAGAGGTACAAGACTTGATGAAGCAGATCTGGAAGAACACTTCGCAAGACCCCCAAGAGGAGATGTGATCCATAAAGACAAGAGGGGAGCGATCATAGGAAGATCAGACAGGGAGGAGGAAGTCAGCGGGCAACCTTTATCCGAAGGTTCAGAGATGGGAGAGCTTCAGGGTGATGACGAGAGTGAACTGTCCCCGAGGCACATCCATGAGGGAGCAATTACAAGGGTTCGTGAAGACGTAAATACGGAATCTAATTTTCTTCTTCCGTTCGTATGCACACTGCAAGGGGGCGAATTTTTTGTACTCGCCCTCAAGTCTGATGATAACAGCTATCGAATGCCAGTAAGCAGCATATCGGAGATTCCTTCTCGACAGGTGATTGTCGAAGCGGTCAAACAGCAATATGCGGAAAGATTTAATTTCCGCATATTTCTGGAGGACCCAACGGCTCGAATTTTGGTTGACACGCTGGAAGGAGGGGAAGTCAGATATACAGTGTTATTGATTGATGCCCATATATCGGCTGAACTTTGGGGCGGTCTATCGGATGTGGGACCGGTGGCGATCCCACTAAGATTATTTATGGCGGACCCGCAAGGGGAATTGTTACATGCCCAGTTGGGTGATGTACATAAGAACCGAGGATCCGCAATGTGATGAAAAGGACTGAATGGAGAATGCAGTGCAAGTAGAATCTCAACAAGCAATGTGCATTCCAATACATACAAAATGATGCTGAATAGCGCAGGGAAGACTTAGATACAAATCCTGACCTGACCGGGACTGACCTCATTCACGTAGCACAAGATAGCAAAACAGAATGCCAGAATGCTAACGACTAGCCCAATCAATGTCACAATGCAGACTAAACATACATCATGCTCATCACCAGGTGTGAAGAGGCCTGGCGCTAAACACAGGACGAGGCGCCAGGTCCAGCCATGCACAGACGAAGAGGAGGGGATCAGACGAAGAGGAGGGGAGAGATGGGAAAGTCGTCAACACCAAGTCTCGTTACGAGTCCCAAATAATCCCTGGTCAAAATGTCTGAAGTCCAATGTCGAGTCTGGATCCACATGTCACCAAGCTCTCTCTCTCTCTCTCTCTCTCTCTCTCTCTCTCTCTCTCTCTCTCTCTCTCATAGTCTGCTGATGCAGTGAAGCCAGATACAGAGAGGGTGAGAGGGAGATGGTGGACTGAGAAGAGGAAGAAGAAGAACTCTCTCTCTCTCTCTTGTATGCCAGGTACTAACCTGTGAAGATGGCGCTGTGCTGCAGGTACCTCGGAGATGAAGCTGGAGCAACGGCGCTGCAGGTAAGTATCCCTGGCCTCCTCCCAATCTTTCTCTCTCTCTAGTGCTACTCTAGCTATGGCGCCCAGCGCTTGAAGACTACTGCTAACGCTACAAAGCGCCCAGCGCTGAAGACTACTGCCAGCGCTCCTCCAGAGTGCTGCTGCCGAATCCTAAAGACTACCTACTGCCTGTAGGGCGGGCCAGTCTTATATAGTGCTGGCCCGTCCAGGAGGCTGCTCTTGCCAATGCCCAAACGTGCTAGGCCCTGAGGAAGCTTCCGGGAAGTTTCCAGGTAGCTTCTGGCTAAAGCCTGAGGAAGCTTCCAGGAAGTTTCCAGGTAGCTTCTGGCTAAAGCCTGAGG